TAAGTGTTTATGTAGTATGTTAGACTAGTTTAAGTGTTTATGTAGTTAATACAGTCTTACTTGTATCACACTTGACGTTGTTCATTGTTTGCTCATAACTGGAGTCCCTAATCATGCAGATGTTTGCTACATGCTCTGAGTAGTATTGTACAGTAAGAAAGTTATTTGCCTTAACCAGGAAATTCATGTTCTTAGAATTTACAGACAGTTGACACTGAGATGTCAAGTAAATACTTACAGCGGATCTAAATATTTATAATTAAGTATAACTAGTTATAATTAATTATTCATATTTCCCCTTTGAGCTGATTCACTACCTTCTTTAGCCTAAATGTGTCTGATTCTATCCGTTTGGGGAAATTCCAATTATATGCATGTGGTCAATGGCAAATTTGATGAGTATGCTCTTGTTCACACCATCAAGACCCAGGGAGGGGAATCTGAGATTCTCAGCAAACTCCACAGTAAGAGCTTGCTATATATGGCTAAATTACACAATATAGCTGTAATGTTTTCATGAAAAAATTCTAAACAGTCTCTGAATGTGTCATGGTTTCAGCTCGTACCACAAAAATAACTGATGACTTGAAGGAGAAGTTTAAGCAGTTCCGCCTGGACACCGGCATCCTTGAGGAAAACATTGCCATATTGCCAATGAATGGTATATTTTATCGATCCTCATGCTCACTCATAAAATAACTGAATTTTTCACTAACTTACTTAATACTGTTTTACAGGAGAATGCTCAGATGCTAAAGTATCTCATCCATCAAAGAAAATCTAAAACAAATTCATGTAAATTCATGTTCAAATTTTGTAAGGATGGAAACTCAGCCTTAAATTATTTTCATTCTACTCATGTGATAATAAATTAATTTGCTCCAGTGCTTCTCCCAATTAAATCTCAAGCAGCACCTTATTGTAGGAGATTGCAAAGTGTAGCATTTCTGAATTTTGTGTCCGTTATGTCACACGTCACACGTGTAAATACTTTTTTATGAACATTGATTTAATTTTTTTCGGTTCACAAATGACAAAATGTTGATGTGTTACACTGAAATGATACATTTCCAATTAATTTCCATTTAAAAGAATAATAAACCTTTTTGCACACAAAATACTGTTCATTCTGTATTTATTTTCAAATAATGATGAATATTTCAAAGTCTGTTGTAAGTGACACACTTCTCGCTGCCATATATGTGATCAATGTCTGTGACAAAACAACAGCTCAAGTTTAAGCAAGTTTAGTCTTACAGCTCAAGTTTAATCTAAATCACTCAATGTAGACAGACGATATGACACTTTTTCATTATTAAAACATCGCCTCACCATGGCAAATGATGTTTGCAATATCAGTGGCTTCAAAGGCTTGGCATGATGATGATCACATTTCTGTTGGGCACAGCTAATGAATGCCAATTTGAAAGTTTTCTGAGAAGCATATATGTACAGATATGTACATGTATGTGCAAAACATGCAAGTTTATATACAATGCAATAGGGGGGAAGTTTATATACAATGCAATAGGGGTGGGGTCCAGGGGTGGGGTCCCCCCCCCCACCACCACCACCACACACACACACACACACACACGCACAAAAAAAAACAGCTGAATGTGTGTTATTGTGTGTTATTGTCATTGAGATGCCCTTGTCTGCAAATAAAATAAAAAGGTTTGTAATGATAAATGGCCATATGGTGCATTTTTATGTGAGTCTCACCTTCCTCCAGCCACATTAGTGTAGATAGAATGATCCATAATATAATGTAAGCCCACCATGCCATGATACAATGTTTTATTCAGTATCATCTGTTTGTGGTCAGGATTTGTGCAGTTAAATAAAATGTTTTAGGAGGGAGTGAAGGTTTTTAATATAATGGATTCTTGTGAAGAGTGTGAATGCGATAGCACTGATATCTACACTGGGTCTTTACTGGTGCATTCAGACTGGCCGGGAGGAAATAAATCAAAAGATGGATGCCACGTCAGGAGACATCATATTCACTTCTCAAGAAAAATGTGAGAGATATGATGATGCTTCAGTGTAAAGGATAATTGGGAAGAGGTTTATGGTCCATTTGTGAGGAGAAGGAGTGTATCCACTCAAATGTTTCAGAAAATTACAAAAATGAAATCTCTCTTCCCCCACAGTTCAAGGTTAGTACTATGTTAGTATTAGCATTGTATAACTTGGACAAAACTTCATTTTGGCTTACTCAACATATAGTTTGGTTCAGTGTTTTCAAAGTTTGTCTAAAATTTAGGGTAACACTTTAGATTACAGCCCGCAATTTACAGCGTAATAAACAGAATTTACAGCATATCTTTTTTGTAATTATAGTGTACCTATACAGTACCTCCATGTAGGTATAAGGGAATAATACACAATGTTTGGGGAACACAGGGGTAACAACCTGGAAAATTACAAATTATTTATACTGTAAATATTTTGAAACGAAGGGGTACCTAATATTATGTGGTATTTATGACCTACTGTGCTAAACAACAATCTAATATTTGCAAGCGATTTAGCAAAAACATACACTGTGTACCTTTTAATAGCAGCCTACACATAAAAAAACGCTGGGATATTGTTTCAATTCAAACACTCAGTTGAGACTGTTGGGTAAGAAAACTGGGTTGATTTGACCCAATTTGGATTGATAATAGTAAAAGTAACCCACCGGTGCTGGGTTAAGACTGTGGAGGACTTGAAAGAGAGCATGCAGCATGTCACGCAAGTTCAAACGCAAGCGGTTCTGTGTGTGCTGATATCCGTGTTTGTGGTTCTTAAGACAGGAATACGTGTGGAAAATAGAAGAAAGCTGATCGAAGCGCAGATGACAACTTTGAAACTGTCTGGAGTGTGTTCGTTTAAAACTGGACCAGTGAATGTGATGAGCGGGAACTGAAACAGCTGGAATGGCGCTTGGGACGAATCTATCGTGTTTGTGGCGCTTATGACAGAAATATGTGTGGAAAATGGAAGAAAAGTAATCAAAGCAAAGTGGATATGGCGCTTGAGGACTGTGGACAAAATGGTAAAATCAAAGACGTAAAATCCTGTCGATTCACTATAATTTGTTCTTAAACCTAAGTTATTCAGTATTAAACGTTTCAAAATAATTTTGTTTTAACTGTATAAGCTGTATAAGTATGGAGTTGCTTTTTCCTGGACTTATCATGTAGGCCTACTCCAGATAACAAGACCTTTTGGGCCAAATGTGGCTGATAGCTGTCACATTTGGCCTAGGTATGGCATGGCTGAGCACATATGGGCCAAACTTTCACCATATACTGTATATGTTTTGCCATGGCTTTAGAATTGGAGGGAATTTTCTTTTGGATGACTATTTGTATTGAGGAATATGGCCCAGATGACAGCACACAACTGAGAACCATATGTGGCTTGGCTATGCACACCATGGAATATGTTAACTTATGGTTAACATGTGGCTTTTATTTGGAAAAAACACACATAACCTGCTATAGTCATGTGTGGCAGGTTTGTGGCAGTCCACATCTCAGCCCATTCAACAATGCATTCAAATATGTCCGTTATTTCTCGCTCTGCTCCCTCTTTACAACAGCAGTCTTTGCCCAGACACACTCTTATCTTCAGGTAAGGTGTTTTAAATGTTTTGGTGTTTTAAGTGTGTTTTAGGGGTGTAATGGTGCATCTTCTGTCCAATAATCGCAACAAGCTTTGTGTTTTGTTATTTCCAATAAGAAACAAAGTCTCATCTTTAAAATTATGTCTATTTTATCAGGAAATTCAATCAATAAATGTTGTTTTTACGCTCTTTGATGTAGCGTGACAAACCGCTGTAAGTGCAAGTACAAGCGGCAGCGCAGTACATATTTTCGTTCGCTTATATTTTTGTCAATTCCTGGTGTAATATAGGTTCACCTTTTATTATCTGTTGCCTGTGTGGTTACTGTTGTCATATTGTGTGTGATTTTAATTTAAAACCCCTTTTTGGGTTAATTTAAACCCAGCATTATAGTAAATTTCAAACAATATTTGCATTAAATAAAACAGCCCACCATGTTATTATATTGCCTGGTAAACAACAATCGTTTTGGAGCAATGTGTTGTAGCCACTTACCCTGTAACTACATGGAACAAGGAGGGAACAAGCACCAGCAGAATATGTAGCCTGTGGTTAAAAAATACCTAGGCTTATAATCAGGGGTGTGAAGTAACGAATTACAAATACTCACGTTACAGTAATTAAGTAGTTTTTATCAGTAATTGTACTTTTCTGAGTAGTTTAAAAATTGTGTACTTTTACTTTTACTTACTGTTTCCGTGCTTTTTTAATGTATTTTATAGAGTTGGCAGTCAAAATTAAAACTGCTGGATGAAAGATATTCTTCATTCTTTATTTGAGTATATTTTTTCAGTACTCTTTCCACCACTGCTTATAATATAATACCAATGTATTATTATAAAAAGTGTATCTTCTTGCTAAATCACTCCCAAACGTAAGATTGTTGTTTAGCATAGTAGGTCATACATACCAGGTAACATTAGAATAGGTACTCCTTAGTTTCAAAATACAAGTATAAATAATTTGTAATTTTCCAGGTTGTTACCCCTTTGTTCCCCAATCTTTGCATATTATTTCCTTATACCTACATAGAGGTACTGTATAGGTTCACTATAATTACAAAAAAGTTACGCTGTAAATTCTGTTTACTTATGCTGTAAATTGCGGGCTGTAATCTAAAGTGTTACCAAATTTAGAATCTTAAGATAAGTAAACAGTCTTTCATTATTCCAAACCACAAAATGTGTACTGGTGGGAAACAAATCTTTCCAAAGTTCTGAATCAACTGAAGCAATTCAACTGAAGTTTCGAAGCACTCAAAACATTGCAAATGGGCGACAACTGAAGGTCAATTTAATGACAACCAAACAAACCAAACATGTAAAATGACTTTTGCAAATGCAAATGTTTTAATTAAAGTGTAATTTAATAAAATCTGTTAAGTGTTATGAAAAATAATTAAATACCATTAAATATGGAGGTTCTGTAAAATTTGTGTTTTATTAAAGTCCTTGTTTTGTGCGTTATTGGACAGGGCAAACTAGGAAAATTAGAAACAATTAACTATCATTCTCCTTTTTTTATATTATACACGCATAATTATTAAAATTCATTAAATTAATTACAAATGAACCTACATAATAAAACTGACCCAAGGGTTCACCAGATCAACACCATCTAGTGGCACACCATCAAAATTTTGAAATGTTTCGAAACTGGTTTGAAACAGTATGATTTAACAAAGCCCTGTCTGCTAAAATCACATGACTTGGCGAGTTTGATACACGCTCTGAACCACTGATTCAAAAACAAAAGTTTTGTAATTGATCCAAAGCTTCATGAAGCATTGTTTCAAAAGCTCCCACCACTAGTTGCATGGTCTGCATTTATAGGTTCTTAAATCAAGCAATCATGAATAAGGTTTGAATCGTCTGATGTTTTGCAAGTTATGTGTAAGATGCAAGGATTTAACTAAGCATATAAGCAAAGCTAGCATAAAAATACACATTTTGAATCAATAACAACAGCAGAGATAGGAAGACAACTTTGCTTTCAGAATACATCCAAGCATTGCAAGCATTGCTTGTAAAACATGCATCATACTCAAACTAATAGAGAAAGCAACAAGATTCATGCAGCATAAATCTGTATGTATTTGCATTGTGGCATTTAAGCTATGCTAAGTGTTAAATGTGCTTTTGCATGCAAAGTTACAATCTCTAGTAACCAAATCATGCGTTTTGGGAGGAAAAGCACAATAATTTAAGAACA